AGGAAACAACTGTCGAAGAGACCACAACGCCTGACGGTAAGCCCAAACGCACAAAAATCACAAAACGCATAATCAAAAAGAAAGTAGGTCCTAAGGTAGAAACTACACACATCACCACAGAACAGACAGATGACACACAACCCATCACTACTATACACACAACACTTGAATACACCGATGAAATCACTACACCCCTCGACGACCTACACAAAGCTGACAAAACCGAATCAGTCGAGGAACAACCCGAGACTGTACAGGTAACACATGTTCGCACTGAAACCGGCGACGTTAAAAAGGTCAAAACCACTAAGCGCGTCATCAAAAAACAAAAGGGACCAAAACAAGAAGTAACTGAAATTACAACCGTCGAGAATGACGATGAGGAACCAATAACGACTGTCACAGTAACCGAGGAGAATATTCCAGAAGAACCAGAAGAAACTAAGCCAGTCGAAGTCTTTGAATTGCCCGAGAAAACCAATGTCGAAGAGACCATAACGCCTGACGGTAAGCCCAAACAAAAGAAAATCACAAAACGCATAATCAAAAACAAGGTAGGTCCTGAGGTAGAAACTACACAAATCACCACTGAACTGACAGATGACACACAACCCATCACTACTATACACACAACACTTGAACACACCGAAGAACCAGAAGAAACTAAGCCAGTCGAAGTCATTGAATTGCCCGAGGAAACCACTATCAAAGAGACCACAACGCCTGACGGTAAGCCCAAACACACAAAAATCACAAATCGCATAATCAAAAAGAAGGTAGGTCCTAAGATAGAAACTACACACATCACCACAGAACAGACAGATGACACACAACCCATCACTACTATACACACAACCCTTGAATACACCGATGAAACCACTACACCTATCGCAGACTTACACAAAGCTGTTAAAGCCGAACCGACCGAGGAACAACCCGAGACTGTTCAGGTAACACAAGTTCGCACTGAAACTGGCGACGTCAAAAAGGTCAAAACCACTAAGCGCGTCATCAAAAAGCAAAAGGGACCAAAACAAGAAGTAACTGAAATTACAACCGTCGAGAAAGACGATGAAGAACCAATAACGACTGTCACAGTAACCGAGGAGAAGACTAGAGAAGAACCAAAAGAAACTAAGCCAGTCGAAGTCTTCGAATTGCCTGTGGAAACCACCGTCGAAAAGTCCACTGCGCCTGACGGTAAGACCAAACACACAAAAATCACGAAACGCATATTCAAAAAGAAGGTAGGTCCTAAGGTAGAAACTACACACATCACCACAGAACAGACAGATGACACACAACCCATTGTGACTGTACACAAAACAGAGGAAATTGTCAATGAAACCACTACACCTTTCGACGACTTACACAAACCTGACAAAGCCGAACCAGTCGAGGAACAACCCGAGACTGTGCAGGTGACACAAGTTCGCACTAATACAGGTGACGTACAAAAGGTCAAAACCACTAAGCGCGTCATCAAAAAGCAAAAGGGGCCAAAACAAGAAGTAACTGAAATTACAACCGTCGAGATAGACGATAAAGAACCAATAACGACTGTCACAGTAACTGAGGAGAAGGCTCCAGAAGAACCAGAAGCTAAGCCAGTCGAAGTCATTGAATTGCCTGAGGAAACCACTATCGAAGAGACCACAACGCCTGACGGTAAGCCCAAACAAAAGAAAATTACAAAACGCATAATCCAAAACAAGGTAGGTCCTAAGGTAGAAATTACACAAATCACCACAGAACACACACATGACACACAACCCATCACTACTATACACACAACACTTGAACACACCGATCAAACCACTACACCAATCGAAGGCTTACACAAACCTGACAAAGCCGAACCAGTCGAGGAACAACCCGAGACTGTTCAGGTAACACAAGTTCGCACTCAAACCGGAGACGTTAAAAATGTTAAAACTATCAAACGCGTCATCAAAAAACAGATGGGGTCAAATCGAGAGGTAATCGAAATAACTTACGTCGAGAAAGACGATGAGGCGCCTATTTCATTCATCACAGTTACCGAGGAAAATACTCCAGAAGAACCGAAAGAAATAAAGCTAATCGAGGTTGTTGAATTGCCTGAAGAAATAACGGTTGAAGAGTCTACTACTCATGATGGTAAGCCCATACAAAAGAAAATCACAAAACGCATCATCAAAAAGAAGGTAGGTCCTAAACTCGAAACTACGGAGATCACCACAGAACATACCGATGACACACAACCCATAGTGTCTGTACACAAAACCGAGGAAATTGTCAACGAAACCACTACACCTCTCGACGACTTACACAAACTTGACAAAGCTGAACCAGTCGAGGAACAACCCGAAACTGTTCAGATCACACAAGTCCGCACCAAAACCGGAGGAATAAGTCAGGTCAAAAAAACCAAACGCGTCATTAAAAAACCCAAGGGAACCAAGCAGGAGGTAACTGAAATAACTACTATCGAGAAAGATGACGAAGCTCCTATCACGACCGTGACGGTCACTGAGGAACTAGCTCGTGACAAAATTGAAGAAACAAAACCCGATTATGTTATCGAATTACCCGAAGAAACCTCTGTCGAAGAAACCTCGACCCCGGACGGTAAGAAAGTCATTAAACGCGGTATGAAAAAGAAGGTGGGTCCCCAAATAGAAACTACACACATAACTGCAGAACAGACTGACAATACACAACCCATCAACACTACACAACACTATGCAACACACGAATTCACTGATGAAATCACCGCCCCTCTCGAAGGCTCAAACAAACCCCAAAAATCTGAACCAATTGAGGTTCAACCCGAAACTGTTCAGGTTACACAATTTCGCACCGAAACTGGAGACATTAGTCAGGTTAAAAGTAACAAACGCGTCATCAAAAAACAGAAAGGGCCAAAACGAACGCGTACCGAAATAACAACCATCGAAAGACACAACGAAGCTCCTACCACGACTTTCACGGTCATAACAGAAGAGGATACCGAAGATAAAGAAGACAAGCCGTTTGACAACATCGAATTACCCGAGGAAATCACTTTCAAGGAGATCATGACTCAAGGCGGTAAGAATGTTATTAAAAACGGCACATACCTCACCACAAAACATAATGTTGACACACAAACCAGTCTTACTATATACACGACACACAAATCCACTCATAAAACCATCACACATCTTCCTTACACATCACTTGTAGGTACACTCAAACCCGAGGATGCACGCCGATAAAGAAGGAACAACCCGTGACTGTTTCCAACTTTGCGTTTTACACAATAACCCAATAACAAAAGGTTAGCAAATACTCCGCTAGCGAATGAGATGCCGAAGAAGTAACAGGTGTGGAAGAAGTAACAACAATGGTTGCTTCTGGTGGCTTCTGCCGCAGGTGTCTTTTACCAATAACCAAATACAGCGACGCAGGCACGAGAAAGCAGTGTGAACAAGGAGTAATTTGTATAACTTTCAAATAAAATAAATAATGCTTAAACCTTCACATATAGTACGTATGCTAGATACTTCATGTGTAGGTATAAATAAAATCTGCCTTTATAGATTATCATTATACCTAGTCTAGCCTTAAATATTGTAACAAATAAAAAAAATATTTTTTCTATTGCAAATATCATTTATTACTTTTACAGTATGTATGTATAATACATAAATATAAAACAATTTAAAACATAAAAAGCTTATTCGAAGTGGTCTCCATTGGCTGCAATACAGTCCTTTAAACGTTGAGGCCAGTTATCAATAGAAGCACGCACTCTTTCCATGGGAAAATTCTTCACTGCCAATCGTATGGATTGTTTTAGGGAGTCCAAATTATCATGACGTTTAGAGCAAGCCCTTCTCTCTAAAACTGACCATAAATCATAATCCAGCGGATTAAGATCGGGACTAGACGACGGCCAGTCTTCAGCTCTGATGAAGTCGGAAACGTTCGTTTCCAACCAAGACTGCGTGGACCGAGCATTATGACCCGGCGCCGAGTCTTGCTGGAAGGACCATTGTTGGTTATTGAACATGGTGTTGTTAAGGGGCTTAACTACCTTCTCAAGAATGGTATTTTGATACACTGGTGCCGATGTTTTGATACCTTTTTCGCAGAAGTATGGCTCAGCCACTCCTTCATAGCTAACACCCCACCAAACCATCACTGAAGTCGGATATTACCCACGTTGCACTCTGTCGACTAATTGAGAAGCTTCCTTAGAGCTTTGAGCATAAATACAATCATTATTTTTTGTTATAATGTTGCTCAATTGTAATAATTTTCTCATCCGTAAACAAAATTTTTCTGTGACCTCCCTTTGCGTACCGCTTCAGTAGTTGTTTAGATTTTATCACCCTATTCTTTTTCAAATTATCATTTAAAAAATGTCCAGTGCAGACGCACTGCTTATAAGCAGCAAGTCCTAAGTCGTCTTTTAAAATACGCGACATGGTTCTAGGTGCTATCTTCATCTCCCGAGATAAAATCTTTTGCTTACGGACAGGATTTCTTCGAATTCTTTCCCTTACTGCTTTGACCACCTTTTTCGTACGAACACTACGTGGACGGCCAGATCTTTTTCTGTTACAAACAGAGGAGGTCTCATTGTACCTATTAATAGCCCGGTACACAAACATTCGACTAATGCCAAGCGTGTGGAGAGTTTTAAAAATTGCATTTGGCTCCATACCCACTTTGTGTAATGCAATCACAGCGATTCGGTTCTCTTTATCACCCCACTCCATTTTAATATCGCAAAATATTGAACGATTTATTGGCGCCAAAATAAGAAAACACAATGAAAAATTATATAAAAATGACAGATTCCAAATTCAAATGTAATATTTTGTTTATTTTTAATTGTAACAGTATTTATGGCCAGACTATGTATATGTACAAATATCATACAAATGATCTTTTTGTTATAGAACTTGATTCATAGATTTTTTTATTTATAGACACAGATTGTAATAAAGGGTATTACAATCTATGTACAGATGCCAACAGTTAATAACCGTAACTTAAATTGCTTAATAAAAAATATATTAAATGTATTTATCACCAATTTACTACTTTATTACAAATATTCAACTAGGTTATATTTATGTCGTTTATTTTTTAGAAGCTATTATTATAGGTATTTATAAATTCAAAATATTTTTTCGTAGAGTCTGTCTTTCCAAATCTTGTAAGCTTTGTATACAAATGTACAACTTTTATTATAATATATCTTATGTTGGAGTTCTTAGTTATTTGTGTTTTACTATTCAAGTCATTTGAAGTGTTGGCGAGTATTAATGTTGAATAATACTTCTCCTTCCAGAAAATACTGCCGAGCGTGATGGTGAACAGATAAGAAAACCACAAATTCCAGATATTGAACCTGTTGAACAATCAGCTAAGCGTAAAAAAGTAAAACCAATACCGTTAAAAATTGAAAAAGTTATGATGGATGAAGCTCAACATGCACAAGAAGTAGATGGTCCTCAGTTTACGAAACTGAAACTGAAGAAACCTACACAAAAACCAAAAGAGGAACTTAAAACAGTCAGTTTACCCAAAGTTCAACTTAAGAGTCGCATCAGATACAACTCAGATTGGCCGCCCTCAGAATTAAAACCTATTATATCATTTTTGGGTAGCGTAAGACAAAATGGCCAACTTTCAAGAAATATAAGAGAGGCTGCAAAATTGAAAAAGAAACCTAAAGTGACAGATATACCTGACTTAGAAAAAGTCGAATTGGAAAAACCAGAAGAATTTGATTTCTCTTCTGAAAAACCAATAGAACTACAAAAAGAGGAAACCAACGATATGACAGTAATAAAACCTAGTGATAAAGTACTAGATGTCAAAAAAGACATTGACACTGATAAGATCATTAAAAATTATCAAAATAAAGAAGCAGAGACACCAGAGCCGAAGGAAAAAATAATTCAAGACAAAGTTATTACAGAGGTGAAACCAAAGGAACTGGAAGCTAGCTTACAAGAAAATAAAATTGATGAAGATAAACCAGCCTCGACTGAAACACAAAAAGAAATAGATAGTATACTTGACGTTAATCAAGAATATCTTGAACCACAAGACTTACAGCAAAGTAAAGAGAAACCAAAAAAGAAAGCAATAAAATTAAAAGATTTGGGCAAACCGACATCAAAACAACCAGATGAAAAACCACTATCAAAGCAACCCGATGAAATACCATCCTTTAGACACCCAGATGAAACATCTCCGTCAAAACAACCAGAAGAAACATCTCCGTCAAAACAACCAGATGAATCATCTCCATCGAAACAACCAGATGAAAAATCGTTCGCAAATCAGCCGGATGAAATACCAAACTTAAAGCAACCAGATGACGCACCAACAACACAAGTGCTTGAAAAACTTCCACGAAAGAAAACAAAACCTAAAGAGAAATCTAGAAAACCTTCGTTACAAGATATGAATTTGGAAGATAACAATAAACCTATTGAAACAGAAGAAATATCGGAAACTTACAAGCAACAAATAAACGAATACAAACCTGAACCCGACGTAACACCTGAAGAGGATACTACAGAGACAGCAACTAAAAATAAAACCAAAGTTAAGAAAATAAAACAGAAAGATAGCCAACCCAAATCTTTGACTTTAGCACCTGAGAATATATTAGAAAATGATGATCAACCTGAGAAAAAGCCGACTAAAGTCAAGCTAACTCCTATTAAAATAGAAAGAAAAGAAGTAGAACTAAGTAAACCACAGCATGCAGAAAATGTTGAAGGTCCCCAATTTACACAGATGAAACTAAAAAAATCAACAGTGAAACCAAAGAAAGAAGCACCTTTAGTGACCTTACCAAAATTCCAGTTGAAAAGCAGAATAAAATATGTAAAAGATTGGCCACCTAGTTTAATAATGCCTACCGTCACGTTTTTAGGCAGCATTCGCCAAAATGGAATACTATCCAGAAATGTTAAAGAAGCAGAAAAAATTAAGAAGAAAGTATACAAACCACCAATCTTACCCGATATTGAAAAAACGGAATTAGAAAAACCAATGTTTGACTACGAAGATATAGTAGAAGCTAAAAAGCAAGAGATAGAAAAAGATGAATCCTTACAAATTGAAGAATCAGTTGAAGATGAACCTCAACAATTTACGATTAAACCGAAACGTCCAAGTATTAAAAAAACTGAAGAAATTGAAGATGAAGTAACAATAAAAAAGAAACTAAAATCTATAAGAAAACCTTCTGTCACACTGCCCGAAGTTACTGAACCAGAAACGGTTACTTTCAGGCCAAAAACTACGAAAACTAAGGAAGATGTTGAACAAGAATTTAACATACAGTTAGATTCCTATGCTGAAGAAGAAATATCTATGTCAAGTAAAGTAAAACTCAAACCCCAGAGACGACCTACTTTCAATGAAGAAGCAAATGAAACTTCTCTCAAATTTTATGAAGAAAATGATGAACCTCCTGATGTTATTGAAATAATCGAAAGCGAGGAGGAGATCTCTGAAAAAACATCTAATGTTATAATGCCATTCAAAAAAATTAGAGAACAACAAGATACGTCGTTGGAAGAAATATCTTCTTCGGTCATAATACCAAAACCAAAGGAAGAAGATAAGAAGTCCGATGTCTCCCAAGATGTTAACATAAAATTAGAAAGAAAGCCAAGATACACAATAGACGAGCAAGAGGAAGTTACGTTTGATGTAAAACCTCAATCAGAACAATATACACAAGAAGAACTATCGCTTTCGAGTAAAATTAAACTGAAACCTAAGAAGAAAATCACTATATCAGAAGCTGCCGACGAAACCTTAATTCAACTTAAACAAGAAATAGAAGATGGCAGTCAAGCTGAAGAGGTAATACTGAGCGAAACCGAAGCTGATGAAAATGTACAAATGACTATTAGACGAAAACCAAAAAAACCGGCATATGAAGTTAGTGAAGTAGAAGAATTAAGCGTTGAGTTAAAACCCAAGAGAATCACTGAAGAGCCTTTTGAAGAAGAACAGGTTACCATTTCAGCAAAGAGAAAACCCAGGAAACCCTCAAAATTGGAAGGTATTGCATTATTTTAGATGTCAGCAAACAAATACGAGTGCTACAGATGCTTTATATTTTACAGCTGTGTAATAATGCTTTAAGAATAAAATGCAATCCATTTTATATATTTATATTTAACTTATGTTTAAAGTAACGTTTTTCTCTTAATCACCTGTATAACCTTAATAAAGCAATAAAAGCGTAATAACGGTGCTTGTTTCATACATAATTTCTAAATAATACTAACCCAATTCAAACAATAATACTGACATAATATGGTTATTACGATACTTAGTTGGTATCACCTAATTTATATAAAATAGCTTTTTAGTCTTCAGCCTAAATTGAAAAACATATAATCATCGAACCATGATTTGGAATTGATTATAATACGCAAAATATTTGACTTACAATAAGTCGCATTAAAATATAAGTAACACCTTGATCTCTGTTTCCAGAAGCCGATGTAACGATGAGCATTTCTAGAGAACAAGAATTTCCTGGTAAGTTACATTAAAACATAAAAGTTTTTAGGGTTTATTTAAGTATACAATGCAATCCAAAGGTATCGAGAGTTATCTAAGAAAATGGTATAAAACATAAAGATTTTTTAAGAGATTCGTCATTTTAGTTTTTCTATCTGTCCGCATGTCACCGTCACTTTATCCAAAACTATAAGATTTTTATTACTAAATGTATTCTACTGATGTACCATATTAAGATTTTTACACAAAAATAGAAAAAAACAATATCTTTTTAGCGTAAATAATTAAAAGAAAGTAATTTTTTTAACCATATGTTGTGATGTTTGTTTTTTGGAGGTTTCATATTGTTTGTATGTGGTGTATCACAAGAAACGAAATAGGATAATAGTAGGTTTCATTAATTTATTTTCATTTATTTGACATGTGCAAATGTCATAAATGTGTGGTCTTATGTAATGAATGAGATAATTAAGATTTTTTCTGATTGAATAGTTTACGTAAGAGCCACTTCCAAAGAGGTTAAATTCTTAAAACGAAATATATTGTAATATTTAAACATAATCGGCCTTATTACAAAACAAGGTTTTACTTTAGTCTAGGACTAAACCATCTGTAGAGAGGTCAATTCTGTATACATTACATATATTTTCAAAATAAGTACCAGGGGTTGATAAGTGATCGATATTGATGCCAAAAATGCAATCAGTAAAATTTTTGTCTGTCTGCCTGTCTGTCTGTATGTTCCTTATAGAAAAAAAACTACTCGACGGTTTTTAACAAAACTTGGTACAATTATTCATAATACTCCTGGGCAGGTTATAGGATACTTGTCATCACGCTACAAATAACAGGAGCAGAGCAGTGAAGGGAAATGTTGGGAAAACGGGACAAGTTACACCCTTTTTTCAGTTTCCGTCGCGTGTGTAGCCTTAATGATTAAAGTTACATAGAAATTATGTATGACGGAAATATTCTATATAAAATTATTTACAAAATATTCCACACCAGTATATGTCTATCTTTGATGCTTGACTCTCCATAACACGTGTAACTCCTGAGAGCTCAGCAGTTCGGAGCATTCTGATTATATTTGTTTACTCTTACTCTCTCGCTTATCCCTAATTAAAAAAGTTTACATTATTATCTATACACTAAAAAAATTATGATAGAAATCAGTATATGTACATGCGTGCACCTTTTCGACGCCATACTTCAAGATAATAATCAACATCAATACGTGAAATAAGTAAATAGTAAAAGGTCGATGTCTGTAAGTACATGGAAGATAAATAAGAAAATCTTTAATAGGGAAACTTTTTATTCACAATAGAACCCAAAACAATGTGTGTTAATTTTTAATTTCATGTACAGTTTTAACCTATCTACAGATTTATTATAAGTAATAGAATAAGATTGCTAGGAACTTACTACATGTTTACAAGTAGTAAGTTCCTAGCAATAAGGTAGGTAAGTTCCAAGCCTAAGTTCCTACCAAACTCGGGAAAGGACAGGATAGTTTTTATACCGCGAATCCAAAAGAAGAACTTCCTGAAAATCCCACGAGATCGGGAACTATGTGGGTAAAACCAAAAATCTGCCAGAAATCACTATTCCACGCGGACGAAGTCGCTGGCAGAAGCTAGTAATAATTAATACTAGCTGACCCGCGAACTTCGTACCGCCTAAGCGTAGTATGATGTACTACTTTATTTTACAATCATCTATAAATGTAGATATACGGTGGAGCATACGGTAGTGGTATGCCCTGCCTAGGCTGAGCACCGCCGTATCCTCAGGGAAGTGATCGGCGGCGGCGACCTCTCGCGCCCGGCCTTAGTCGAGGCCATGGTGCCTTCTAATAAAGCCGCAAACTTTTTGTGCTTGTGTTTTAGAAGTTAAAGTAGCTACAAAGTTTTTTCTGTTTCAGAAACTCCTGTTGACGTTCGCAGTGGTGATACCGTTTTTGCTGTTTATTCTTATGTTGCGGAAACAGATGAAGCTATTAATTTGGTTGAAGGCGAACGGTTATATATATTGGGTAAAAATAGAAGCAATTATTATAAAACTAAAATAAGCCAACATCGGTAGAATAGTAGTTTTATAAATAACACTTTATTTGCAGAAACTACCAACCAAGATTGGTGGTTTGTACGCAAACATCTCACGGAAGAAAAAGGTTGGGTGCCCGCTCAGTATTTAATGGATGAAGCCAATTATACTCTTTACCTACAAAAGAAACTCAATGAGAAAATAGATAAACTTCCAGTATTTGAAAGTAAGTATATTTCATAAAAGTATAGTCGTAGTAAGTTTGTTTTAGTCGTATTCAAATAAATTTTATGTCATGTTAGATTGGCATATTTTATTAACATAACAATAATACTTTTATATATTAAAATTATTGTTATTCCATGAAATTCATTTATTATAAATTATATCATTACAGAACCCACACCAGAAGAGCAAGCAAGCGCACCAATATTCATTGAAAAATTACGCCCTAAACATACGCCTGATGGATCAACTGTGCAATTCGAATGTCAAGTTGAAGGCTATCCCAGGCCACAGATAACATGGTTTAGACAGACCGCTATTATCAAACCATCTCAAGATTTCCAAATGTATTATGACGATGACAATGTAGCTACTTTAGTTATCAGAGAGGTATTCCCTGAAGATGCTGGCACATTTACTTGTGTAGCTAAGAACGCTGCAGGTTTTGCGTCAAGTACCACAGAATTGACAGTGGAAGCTCCACTGTCTGATCACGGTTCTGAAATGACAGTTTTATCTAGAAAGAGTCTTTCCAGAGAATCTTCTTTAGCAGATATTCTTGAGGGCATTCCACCAACATTTTCAAAGAGACCAAAAGCTCAATATGTTAATGAAGGATCTCAAATATTTTTGGAATGTCGATTGGTAGCAATTCCAGAGCCAGATATTGCTTGGTTATTTAAAGGTGAAGAGATAATTCCTAATGAAAATATATCTATAGCTACTGAGTCCGATATGCATATGTACTGCAGTGTATTAAAAATTTCTGACGTAAAGAAATTCCAAGAGGGTACATACACAGTAGTAGCTGTAAATAGGGAAGGTGAAGCTAGTTTACCTATTGTATTGAAAATTAAAACTGGAGAAAAAGAAAAACCACAGGTGATTGAACCACTCAAAAATATGACGATACGAGAAGGAGAAAGCGTAGTTCTAACAACACAAGTCGTTGGAAATCCTCAACCATCCGTGACCTGGTACAAAAACAATAAACCTGTAAAATCCCTTACGACAAAGTCTGATGGCGATACTCATACTATTACAATAATCAAACCCAAAAAGGGTAAAGATGACGGAATTTACACATTAAAAGCTGTAAATTCTGAAGGATCTACAGAAACAACTGCAGTTATAACCATAGAAGGTAAGAACATTCTAAATTATTTAATTTACATGCGTATTTGTTACAATAGCATAGCTTTGTGGTCTAACCAGTCCATAAGTGGATTTATAAAATTCTAATAATCGTATCTAAATATAAATTTGTTGCAGACAAAAAAGTATTTAATGTAGAGTAATAAAAGTGTAGCTTAATAAAATCTGTCACAAACAAAAATATTCTTCACATATTACTTTTTTCAGAACCGACTGAGGAAAATGCTGAGCCGCCACTATTTATAAACAGATTCCAAGAAATAACGGTAAAAGAAAATGGCATCATTAAATTAATAGCAAAGGTTACAGGAAACCCTGTACCCTCTATTACTTGGTATAGAAATAACCATATAATCACTCCATCTGAAACAGTCACGCAAAACTTCGATGGTGAAAATATTGAATTAATAATAACAAACGTAGATTCTGAAATCGACTCTGGTGATTATAAATGTGTTGCATCAAATAGTGCAGGTAAAGCTTCCCACGGAGCACGAGTTACAATAGATGTTGAAAAAGTAAGGTTTGTTAAAAATTTGAAAAATACTTATGAAACAGAAGAAGGAAAGACTGTGACCCTCGAGTGTCATACATCTCACACAGTTTCAACAAAATGGTACCATAATGACAAAGAAGTGAGTGGAATGGACCACAGAGAGATAATCCAAGAAGGCAGAGTACATAAACTCAGAATTAAAAAGACTAAGTTAACAGATATTGGTTCAATAAAATGTGTTGTAAAAGATCAAGAGACTAAAACGCAGTTAACCGTCCATGAAACTATTCCTGAATTTATTAGACGGTTGCAAGATTTTGAAGTTAAAGAAAGAGACATTGCAATTTTAGAAGTTGAAATTAATTCAGAAACAGCTGATGTAGTTTGGGAGAAGGATGGTGAAAGAATTAAGGCTAAGAAAAACAAATATGAACTCGAAAAACGAGGAAACGTTCGCAAATTATTTATCAGAAATACTTCAGTTCACGATGAAGGTGAATATACATGTAAACTACGAGATGATTCCTGTACAGCTGAAGTAACTGTTGTAGAACTTCCTCCTGAAATTATATCTCGATTACAAGATCAGAAAGTAAACAAAGGCAATAAAGCAACATTTGACATTGAACTAACAAAAGGAGACGCTCTAGTACAATGGTTCAAAGATGGTTCAGAAATTCAATTCTCAAACCATATTCAACTGACAATCGATGGGAAAAAACAGAAACTTAAAATCTATGACTGCGAAATGTCAGATGCTGGAGTTTACACTTGTGAAGTAGGAAATGATAAATGTGCAGCTAGGCTGATAGTGGAACAACCTTCCATTGACTTTGTTCTGAGATTACCGGAAGTAACTGTAGTTCCTGCTAACACAGATGCGTATTTAACAGTTGAAATACCGGATGAGACTATGGATGTCACATGGTACAAGAAAAAGACAGTGATTGAAGATACCGAAAAATTCACGTTGATATCAGATGTTACTAAACGTACTTTAATTATAAGAAAATGTACAGAAGATGACCAATGTGACTACTTCTGTGTTTTGTTTGATGCAAGATGTTCTACAAAATTGAAAGTGGAGGGTAAGGATTCAAGTGATATTTTATATTAAGACTGTCTTACTAGCCCAGTGATTAGGTGTCTTATAAGGACTATAAGGAGGACTATAAGGTGTCTTAGGTTCAATATTCTGATCGAGAAAAGTAGAGTAGTTAGTAGTTTAGAAAAATTCAGTCCTGTTAGAGTTTGAAATTGCACCGAGTTTTGACAATATTTTCCTTCTATACTGCACGTTTAGGAAATATTACTAAATATGCTACGTTCGCTATACCTTTAAAACAATAAAATTTGCATGTTTACATACTTTCAGTTGTAGAATTTCCACCAAAAATACTCGGATACGATAGAGAATACAGAATAAAACGAGGTGATGATGTCACTATACACGTCCAATATGAAGGTGTTCCTCAACCTAACGATGAGTGGGTGGTGAATTCTAAAATAATTAAGAAAACAAAACATACCAAACCCTCAATTGACACGAAGGCGGCAAGTCTTGCAATTAAAAAGGTTGACAATTCTGATGCTGGAGTTTACAGGCTACGCCTTGAAAACAATTGTGGAGAAACAAATGTAGAAATTAACGTAGTCATCATAGGTAAGTATCGGATATACTTCAGTTTAATATTCATATAGACTTTGAAGTCACGCCTGCCTTCTCTCAGAGTAGGCAGAGAATGATTAGATGGCGTTGAATCTTCCCCTCGTATTCCAGAAATTGACCATTTATTTACGTACTATTATGAGTCCTGAGTCTTTCACTACTACATACAATTGATTTATCCTTTGGCAAAGCGAATGGTTATACAAGTAAAATTTATTCTCATATTAGTAACTACTATGAGGGGACAAAAAATAACTATTTGATTAAAAAAAATTTGATTATTTACTTAATTTACGTAAATATGTTCATTGCAGACACAACTTCACCACCTGGAAAACCTAGTGTTCTAGAAACAACAAATAATTCAATTAATTTGTGCTGGGATGAACCAGACGACAAAGGAAATTCAGAAATTGAATATTACATACTTCAATATCAAGAAATTAATACAACAGAGTAAGTAACTATAAATAATACGATTTTATTCTTACAGTCAATATAATAAAGTGTGCAAAGTGATTTAACAACAAGAGTAAACATAAAATTACTTTAGATAAGATTAATATTGCATGTTACCTAAAGATATTATAACCATACTTGGTTTAAAATAGGTTAAAGCTGTGTAATCTAGATTAAGGCATTAATCTACATAATAAACATTTTCAGGTGGGTATCCATTGAGAACATTAAAAAGACCCAAATCAGCGTCGGCGAACTGAACACCAAGTCCTCTTATAGATTCAGAGTATCGGCAGTGAATGAAGTAGGAATAAGTGAAGCTTCTGAAACAACGGAATATATTCTTGTCCAGGAAATTTTAAAGGGTCAAGCACCAACTGTTGAAAAGCCACTTAAAGATATAATTGGCGAACCAAATGAAGATATAGAACTCACGTGTATATTTGGAGGTGTACCAGAACCGAAAGTAACATGGCTCCAAGGAAACAAGAAATTAAAGACAGCTAAAGCAACTTACGTTAATAGAGTGGCCACCTTAGTTATAACTGCAATGGAAAATACAGAAGGAAGATATTGTTGCAAGGCTAATAATGAACACGGAGAAGTAGAAACTTCGTGTCATGTCGAAGTGCAACAGAAGCCTATAATAATAATATCAAACGAAAATATTGAACAAAAGTACAGAGTAGGTGAAAACTGGTCTGTAGAAGCTTTAATCAAGGGTATTCCTAAGCCTACTACTAATTGGTATTTTAATGGCTCCAAGGTAGAAGAATCAGAAGACATTCAAATAATAACTGAAGATAATGTTAATATCATCAAAATATCTTCCCTGGTTCGTTTCCACTCGGGAAAATACACAATTGAAGCTTCGAATAAAGCTGGAAGCACATCTTTTGATGTAATACTAAAAGTTTATGGTAAATAGCTTAACTATTGTTAAATACTTAGATTGAACTTTAATTAATACCTTACGGTATTAATACCTTAAGGTATTGATTTTATTAAAAGTATAGTAGCATTTGTATTTTCTACTGAACGCAACTTTAATATTCCAGATAAACCTAGCAAACCTGAAGGCCCAGTTGTAATGCGAGAGATTAGCAGAGAATCAGTAACAATTGAGTGGAAACCTCCTCGTGATGATGGTGGTTTAGAATTGACAAAATATGCAATTGAAAAGCATGAACCTGACACTAATAAGTGGGTCAAAGTAGCAGATGTAGACAAAGATGTGGAGACCTACTGCATACAAAGGCTCAATGAAAATTGTGAATATATGTTCCGTGTTATGGCACAAAATCCCATCGGATTTTCAGAAGCTTTGGAAAGTGAACCTATTGTCATTAAGACAGCACTAGGTACAGTATTTTTATTCATAAAAAAGTCTTTGAAAATCATCTTTAATTCTATTAAGTTAGTAGTTAGTCACCAATTCCCGACCATTACCCAATAATAATAAATAAACAATATCACACATTGATCGTATAAGTATACTGTTATACATTAATAATTTGTCCACTATATGTATATTGTAGTCATAAGACTAATTATGATTTATATTATAAATGTAATTCACAGATGTCCCATCTCCACCCCTTGGTCCACTGGGCTTGTACGGCATAAACAACGATTCTTTGACAATAACATGGTATCCATCTGAGAAAAATGGAGGATCACCTATCATCGATTATAGCATTGAGATTAAACAAGAGGGGAAAAAATGGAAGCATGTGGCTACAGTTACCAAGACCAGCGCCAAAATAGAGAAATTGACAATAAACACTACCTACCAATTTAGAATTACGGCAAGAAATGAAATTGGAATAAGTCTGCCTTACATATCTGACGAGAAAATCACGATCGGAAAGACTTTGTGTAAGTTGTTAACATGCTTTTTGTATGAATCTAGCTCTATTAAAAATGTGAACCCCACGTTGATCTTAATTAAAGGGTTGATCGAAGGTACTAAGACTAAGCGCAGATGGTATTTTCCATTGACAATACAAAATATAGTCTAATAGATTCTGCCTGCAACTTAGTCGGCGTGAATATATATTTATACTGATTTTAGGTAGAATGATTCATATTTCAAAATCTTTCTTAATGCTACTCTTCATCCCCACGAATGCGAATGGTAAAATCCGCTCTCTATGACCAGTACTTTCTGCCGCCAGTATATATAGATGAAGTACCTATAATCTATGTATTTGGAGAAATAAATAACACAATAATAATAAACAATAACATATTCCAGCTCCCCCCACACAGCCACTAAACTTTGCTGTAAAGGAAACAACTTCAAGGTCTGTGACTCTACAGTGGGCCGCACCTGAGAGCGACGGGGGAAGTGTTGTGACAAGTATGTTTCTTTTTATTTATAATTATTATATTTAATATATACATAATTGTGTTGGTTGAATTATTGCCAGTGCGACGTAGTACTACGATGAATAAAATATTATGAAATCTTCTTTTATTATACATTTTTTAATATAATCGATCTTTGAGTACCTACCGATCTAATAAATATTTTAAATTCATTCGGTGTAACAGTCAATTATTTGCTCTCACCTTCAATTATATCTCTCAAAGATTATATTGATGATTAGTATGTTTAATACCGATTAAAATTAACTAAGTATATTGGTTTCTCAGTGGTAGAAATTCTTAAAACAACTCATCTATATTAATTCTGATTAATAATTATTAGCCAATTACCAGAACTCTTAGTTATATATCAATGATACTTTTCGTTGTTATGTTATAACTCAATAATCCCTTTACCGATTTGGCTAATTTTGTGAAAATTATTATTCGTGGAAATCCAGAAAAGGTTTGTACGTAGAAAAATTTAAAAAACATCTTGAAATTATTTACAAACGATGGGCAATCGCTAAGTAGTTTATTTGTAAATCGAAAAACTCGGTGACCCGAAAAGTAGTTTATAATAATATATACATACTATATTATAAGGTTTTAATGATAAGTATAGCTACATATGTTACGTTAATTACTATTACATAAAATTTTGTAGTTTATAAATGTAAGTAAGGTAAATAAAATATAAACTTTAATTAAATACCTTGGATCGATCAATTTTACTACTTAATTACAATGTTATTAAGCGACATGAATAAAATGTCAAAATAATAAATAAAATGTCAAAACTAGTGGTTTAAAAATTGATGAACATAATAGAAGCACATCTCGAAAAGCCAAGTAAACATTCGATTTTTAAACTTACTTTTTGGTAACGTATTCAAGTCAGTTGATGATTTAGTAGATACTTATATATTTTAATTGCCATACAATGTACATTATTGCTGTATAAATGCAATCTTTGGCTAGGTGCCAGAAAATTTCCAGTATATTTATTTTTTAATTTAGGGTATTTTTTTACAAAAAGACAATTTTCAAAAATGTATTGGCTTAGCAGAGGAAGTATTTTAGTTCCTTGAATAGTGGTCTGCAATGATTTAAATATTCAGCGCCACTTGTCCATCCTTTATTCAGGACTAAACAACAGTTGTTTGCTAAGCAAAAGTAAAAAAAAACTTTCAAGATTTGTAAGTAGACACCATTGTCTACGAATAGATTGAATCAATATAGGAACGAATAAGAAGTAACATTGAGTTACGTTTTTAACTTAGGTACATTATGTTACATGTACATTCATTTATATTTTACACATAAAAAATAAGTAAAAGACAAATCATTTAAATGTTTAATTTGTAAGATGAAGCCTACATCGATAGAGTATGTTTGAGTTACCTACAGATATGTGAGTTTCCAGAAAATGATTAGGCGCACGCGCACTGGCATTAGGTCTACAAGAATTTATATAAATGAAATATTAGTTTTTCAAGTATCGAATAATATTTATTACTTATTCGCATTTCAGATTACATTATCGAATACAAGACTGCTAAAGCCAAAACATGGACCAAAGTTATAACTGTCAGTGGAACAGTTTACGAACACTGCATAGAAAATATTAAAGAAAAGGAGGAACTCATCTTCAGAATCTCCGCTGAAAACGCTATAGGCGTCAGTTTACCAGCAGAGTCCCAAGGAGTAAGACTAGAGAAACATGCGAGTAAGTATCACTTTATAATTAGGTACCAAGTCATCTAAATGCATTTTTATACCAAATACATATTAATCTCTTTATTCTACACTCGTAGCCGTACCTTCACCGCCAACTGCGCCACTTGAAATACGAACAGTTGGTAGCAACATCGTCATGACATCGTGGGGTACTCCGGAATGGGACGGTGGGGCACCCCTGCTGGGCTACAATATTGCTATCCGTGACGTCACTAAAACAATGTGGATGGAAGTAGGAAAAGTCGACGCACAGACTCTTAAATTCAATATCAAGGATTTAAGTGACAATCACACTTACATGATAAGAATTTATGCTCGCAACGAAATTGGACTCAGTGAGCCGTTAGAGTCGGACGAACCTTTCAAGGTCATTCCTGGAGAAGGTAAGCTCATTTTACTGACTAATCAGGCAGCTGAATTACACTTTCAACTTTATTAAAATAATTTAGGTATAAATACTTTAATTAATTCGTTTATTTAATGATAGACTTATTACATAAGGGTTGGGTAGCGAGAATGCTTGCGGTCATCAAACCCACTTTTGTACTTTGTGCATAAAGTTAAATAAATAAAGCGAAGAACTATCTCCGACAAATCTCACGGAGATTTGCTGTGAGTTATGTACAATCTTCGTTTTTCACATTTAGACAAAAGTATTGAATTTGACTGTCAAGTAGTTAGCGTATGTATTTTATTTACGTATCATTACAAAATTGATAGGTAAATTGACCTTTTTGGCCTTGGCAAAACAAATAAAGGTTACCTACTAATAAATGACCAAAAATATTTGTTAATAAGATACAAATAACAATCTTTGCAGACTCACATGCAGACGAGGAGATTGGCGAACAAACCGAAATGACGGAGCCAACGTCGTTCAGCACGCAGACCACTACTTCCTGGATGCGCGAACACAATATGGATGCGGATATTCGATCTTACGCGCGAGGCTCGCTATTGAGGCGCGATGAATACTTCTTCAGGATATGGCACTACGCTAAACAACTATTCAAGTGATGCGACAACACGTCCGCGCATTCATTTACCTGTGATATTTAACGACAAACATTTTAAAGTCCATAGTTGGCGGATAGTAATGTATATTTAGATACAATTACTTCCACTAGACAGTAATCCACACCCGAATTCTGTCATTTTTTTAATTTTGTACTATTATGTTTTTTGTACCAGCATGTAATATTTTATTATTATTTATTTTAGATAAGGATGAACTATTTATTTATTTAAATTATTATTATAAAACATGTCTGTTGACAACATTTAAGTCTCATTCAATACTTTTTATGGGAGACGTTTTAAATATAGGTGCAAAATATTTATTCGATAAATTGAATGAGGCTTAAATTCATCACCAGACATTTTAAAATATTTAATAAAGCGAATATTAAAAATGATGTCAGTCTTTGATTTCAGATTGTTACTGCATAGACGCACATACATATATCAAGTTACCCTGTTAGGTCAGATATAGTACTTAAATCGAGTTTTAGGATCGAAAAAAGCGTGAAATCACAATATAGCAAAAATATACTATTTAAGGATCGAGTTCGATAGTTTCGAGTATTTATTAGTAAACTAGCTACCCGGTATCACCCGCTACTCATCTACTACAGACCGTAGCGTGATGTTTTATAGCCTATAGCACTCAGGAACATTATAGCTATCTATTAGTGAAAGAATTTGGCAATCCGACCAGCGGTTCCAAAGATTACCCCTACATACAAAAATACAAATTTTACCTCTTTATAATATTAGTATAGATATCACATCGTAAAGTTGACTGCACGTTTGGCGCAGTGGCTGGACAACTGGCTGTCGTGCAACGTGTCGCTGGTTCGATTCCCGCACGGAACAACTCTTTGTGTGATCCACAAATTGTTGTTCCGGATCAGGGTTTTATGTGCATGTGAAATTGTATGTTTGTAACCGCGCCCACGACACGAAGGGCAACGTTTTATAAAAAAAAAAGTCCGTCTTGCAATATTTTCCTATATTCTTGACAAAGTGTGTCATGTTAGAATACGTATGTACAATAAGAAATATGTGAATGAGTATAACATTCGTGTTTTACGGATTTGGCATTATAAATTCATTGATTTTGTTTCAACAAAACAATGGCGCACATTGCATCTCACGAGAACATGGCACGGTATAGATACATCTACGGCGATGTTATTCTTTCTTAATGTACTTTTACTCAAAAAAAACTAATCTGTTTTTGAAAAAGTTTATCTACCTACTCATTATTTCAATAAATATTAATGTACCTATACTGTGTTAGATTCATAAAAACAGTATTTGACAGAGATGTAGGTACTTAAAAAGTACACTGAACTTTTCTGACAGGTATCGCTCAAAACAATTTTCGTTTTCAATTCAACTAGGTTAAAGAGTACCGTCTCAGATCGATTTAGGATCAAAAACGAATTCTTATCAGAAACAAAATCGAATCGTCGGAAGTAGACCTACAGTATGCTGAAAAAGTTCTAGTTGACTAACTTAGACTTAGGATAAGACAGGGTAATAAAATAAAAGACATAGGTACCTACCTAATAAGACAGTAGTTAATCAATTTTCCAAATAACCACCTAACCGCCTTGAGCAAGCGTGGTGATTAATACTTAAACTATCTCAATATGGGAAGATGCCTTTGCCCATTGATAGGCACTTGTAGGCTGATGATGTCAACTCAAAAAACGAAATGGTTAAAATATCACGAATCCATATTCAGGTTATTAAAGCACCATTAATATGACTATATTAGTTTTATTTGAAGTAAGAAACAATTTAAAAAGAAAAAAATACAAAATGCACGATCTTATCCCCGCCATAAAATAACTGGCCCAGGTTCGTACTATACATCGATATTGTTACCTACTAGCTACTGTCCCGCGGTTTCACCCGCTGCTCGGCTCCTACGTGATGTAGCGTGATGTTTTATAGCCTATAGCCCTCCTCGCTATATACACCAACAAACACAAAAAGAATTGTTCAATTCGAAAAAGTCGTTTCTGAGATTAGCGCGTTCAAACAAAGTCTACAGCTTTATAATATTAGTATAGATTTAGGCAGTAAAGTTGTTGGAAGCTATTTATTTGGTGCACCTAAGCCTAGTCAGATTCACATATATATCTACCTTTTTTGACATGCATAATTTCCTTTTCAGTTTCTAGGCAGGTATTTAAATAATAAGTTGCAGTGTAGATACAGTGCCGGCGTTGGGAGAGGGAGCTTGATGGGGCGATGGCCCAGGGCGAAAAGTTCTGGGGGCGCCCAGGTCTGAAGTTGGAGTCTCTTGCCTCTCCTGGTGCAAACCCTCAGAATTGTGCTCTACGCTCTGTGCATATGCATATTTTTTATTGAGATATTTTTTAATTTTACTTGGGATCAGCAAAAATCTAGCACTTGATATGGCTTCCCTCAAGTGGGCGCCACAATATTTTCGCCAGGGGTGTGAGTGGCCCTTACGCCGGCACTGTGTAGATAGAGTTTGTTATCGAGTAGATAGTGGGCATAAAAATACTACCGGATTTTTTTCTCCGATAGGGGGCGGTTTTTAACTGCGTTATGACACATTTTTGTTTGCACAAACCATTCCACGCAGTATTCCTTCCACACATCATAAGGGTATAAATAAAGAACAAATTGTATTTAAGTACTTATTTATTTATTTAACTTAATATTTAAGAGTTATTATGATTTACCAGCATTAATAAAAGGAATAAGTAATAAGATCTACTTAACATTAACTAGTGTTCATACAATTCAATATTAAGAGATAAATTGTACTGTAAAGTATATTGTAGCTAATTATAGTACCTAATGAGTTTTTGTAAGAAACGACTTAAGAATGTTTTCACTATTTTGGCACTATTACATAAACAGATGCACCAAGATCAATGCAATAAGAAAGTTCAATCATAATTCAAGGGACATCAAATCTTATTGACGATTTCGGCGACCTGGAAAAGAAAAATAATTAATTAAAACAACTTTTAGATAAGTGCACCATCCCACAATTAGCAAGTCGTAAGTAATACACCACTGATGATTCGGCAACATTAACTAAATCGAGCATGTTAGCGGGAAAAAATTGTGTCGGAATGCCAAAACAATTTTTTATGCTCGCCTGTTTACAATGTCACTGAACGATTCTGCAATTGGATGTTCTTTGATTGCATTGCCTCTTTTTGAGTGAATACGATCTAACGTTGAACAAACAATCGCTATTTTAAAATTGTAGTGCGATACGGTTTGAAATAGATAGGATACTCACTCTCACACTCTATTTACTTTTAAATTTTTATTGTTAGAATCGTAGATCACGCAGTCACACTAAATCTCTAGAACGGCAGGTCGGATTAGGCTAATTTTGGTCTTCAAATATTCGTGGGTTTTCAGTGATGGTTAAAAGGTCAAGGACTGGCCGGATCAACTAGTAATATTAAATAGAAAATAAAAAGTGAAGTACAAATATGTTAGTAAATAGTTAAAAGTAATGCAGGGGAAACAGACCTTTCTTACCCTTGTCTTTGGAGGTCTTGACTTGCTTGTTTTTGTTGCATTTCTTAGTAACACGCTTACTTTGATCGCAACTAGGGTCGCTATTAGCCTTCAATATATCAGTACGTGACATCTCGCCATTGGGGCTGCACTCGCTCCATGAAGACTTCTCGTAGCGGCAGGCTAAACATGTGAAAGAATATGTTTGAAATCACTTCAAAACAATCTCAGTCAGGCGCTGATTACAAGACAAAGAGAACTTCGTTTCGTGAAAATGAAAATAAAGGGATTTTTATTGTGAGGATAAAATCAACAAATGTCTTCTCCCGCCCAGGGTCGGGAGAGATTGTCAGAGTCTTACTGTCTAAAAACCACCCGTTCCTTCTCCTGGTCTGGGCCGAGACCGGCCGGTCACCGCCACCTCATTAGGCTTACCTCGCAACCTCGGCTGAACATCAGCCCTATAGGGCCCGTCTGTAATGGTCTATTAGCTCTGGAACGCGCGGAACTCTACGCGCCGTACACTCGGGTAAAACAAGGGTGTCTAATATAAATATGATTCATATGAGTGGATGATAAGAGAACTGAAAAGACTAATTCCTATTCTTAACAATTTTAACATCCTCTTTCAAGAGGTCCTAGGCTAAGATAGCTTATACTTAAAGACATATTGGTTTACACTCACCTACAAATGACACCTTAAAGTTTGGAGAAGTACTAATTATAGATAGATGGTGAACACCTAAGTAAGGTGTTAGTTTACGTGCCCATTTACGCTTACGGACTTTGAAAACGGCCAATAGGTACTTTTATGAGTCGTGTGGCTTGTTATTGGGAATATTTGCAGGAGAACAAATACATACAATAACTAGCGCATACATCCAATAGGAACAAAGATTTCAACTGTGGAGAACAGGAAATGAGCCACAGATAAAGGACTGAGAAACACAGCAATTATAGATTTAGAGAGGCATGAAAGACCTTATGTGACGTAATATTAGATACTTGAATGATTTACGACTGCCACATCCTGAATAGGTACGTTTGAGATAAGGACGCTCTTCCAACCATATGTGTATGTTACATAAAATAGTCGTAATCGTGGTGGTTCTCATGTCTGAGGCAGCGGCTCGAAACCTGGCAAGTACCCATTTTACTTTTGCCGCGTTATAATATGCACTTTCTATGATTATTTAGACACCACTGACATACGGTGACGGGAAACATCGTGAGGAAACCTGGACTTATAATTTCTAATTATAAGTTTCAAATCGCCAATCCACTTTAAGCAAGCGTGGTGATTAATACTCAAAACTTCGTCTTTTACCTACGACGATGAACATCCTTCTTACCATATGTGTATGGTATATTAAATCCTATGCCCGATCAACCTCGGTACATTATCCTATGGCCGACCTATAAGTACATGGACTATACTCAAAGTTTAAGATACCTTTGCATTTCTTCTGAATAGTTTTTACACTTTCGCAGGTGGCCGGGTCTCCCTTCTTCAAAGTGAGTTTCCGAGACCGAATGTTCGTCTTGGCGTCACACTCGCTCCAAGCTCCCCGAATATAACGGCAAGTCTCTGTATATTTGAAATTCATAGTATCATTATTCCATTTTAAGCTAAGTATGTCACAATAATTATGAAAAGTGTATTTTAAATTCTAAAACACTTCATTCTATGTTTAAACCATTGAGTATTTTTTTTATATTTTGAATCTTATTCTCACCAACCTTCGATTTAAAATCCAAAAACTGGCTCATTGGTTTAGATCTAGACTAAAGATAAACCTTGTTTTGTAATAAGGCTGAAAACGTCTAAATATTCCGATATTGTTAATGTAAGCAAAGTCGTTCAATTATAATTACAAAATCTAATAATTCG